GCAACAGGAATTATATGTAAACAGAATTTTCAAAATATTTTTTTACAAGAAATCGATCGAATATTTTCTAAATTTAATTTTCGAAAAATATTAATTTTAATCTTTGAGAAGTGTTTTCTAACAAAGAAACTAAAAAAATTTAAAAAAGATCTTCGTTTTTTAGGAATTTTTAGACTTGCTGAATTCGACTTTGATCTCAGAGAATTCTAAAATTGCAATTAAAAAAAAAAAATCTGATTATATCACAAAACTAAGTTTTTAAGAAGATTCTTGGTATCGCTTAGTTTAAATGATATCTGAAAATGTTGAATTTTAACAGGATAACTTTCAGCGAAGAAGAATCTAATATCATAGGGCTCAGAGTTTGAAAATTAATACTATTTGTGTAGCATTCACAAGTTTCAAATAACATAAAACTGGAAACTTGATGTTACTTCGCAATTAACAATTCTCTAAACTTTTTATATAATAATCAGATTATTTTTTTAAATTTCCTTTCGCCCCATATTGGATTCGCTATTTTGAACTTTTTATTTTTAATCTTTGATTCAAATAAAACATTATCAAGTTATCTTCTAAATCAAGTTTTATAAAAATCAAACAGGTTACAAAGTAAAAAGTGGTGACCCCAAATGGAGTTGCTCGTTCAAAGGATAATTAAAGATTAATTACATTTTCTTAATTAATCAAATACGTGTTGGTCATGTTTTTCGAGAGAATCGTTGGACATGCAATAAGACATTTAATCGTACAACGTTTACGTTACGAACGTGCAAAAAATGTAATACGCACGATGACGCAGCGTGGATACCTCGACGTCCTGACGAACCGCTGGTATTTTCGATTCTTCCTGAATTGCGTAAAAGCAAGTTCGTCCGCGGATATTAACCCACCGTCATACGAGGAATTTCGTCAATCGATTTTCGAGAAGAAATTCGGCGTTACGCGCGAGAACGAAGATATATTCCGAACACGTCTCAAACGGGAGAAGATCCCGTCGAGTCCCGAGGGAAGGGAATTCTTCTTTTCCGTTCCAAGAGGATACTCGAAGGAAACCACCTCTGTACTCCTGTACGAGCCACGAAAATTGTGGCGCTTTATAACGCTACATTAACCGGCAATCTTCTCACCCGTTGCACCACGCGACGAATGGTATCCGCGAATCTGTTTTTGGAGATAGCGAGCGATAGGAATGAATCGTCGATAAAACTTTTAATTACTTTCGTCCTAGAAGAAAGGTTAAAGATAAAAGACGCGACCTTATCCAATCATTCGTGATATTTTTGGGAAGTTGCTGCATCCGAGAAGATCTTTTTAAAAATAAATCTCGCGTCTCTCGGATCTTTCTCCCTGACATTTTACAAGACACTTAAAATTTTACAGTTACATATCGTTCATTTAATTATATACTGTTGCAATGTACAACAATGTACTTTGCGTATTAAAATTACATATCGCGCAATTGTAGTCAGATACAGATGCCTGGTGGAATTATTCCGCCGCGCTATAAATATTTAATTAATTAATCTTGGCAAAACTTCCTTCTCGTAGTGTATTGAACTTACGGCGGCTTCTCCGTCTTTCTCCTTTTTCACTCCACGAGCTCGGTTATCTCGGTTACTCACGCGGAAGGCTTAATTAGAGCGACCCTTTATACAGTTACAGCGGAGAGCAACGTCGTTAGATCTTTGTTGGACCTTTCGCGATGAAAACAGGGGAAAAGGGACGATACTGCTCGGAGACCGGTAACGAAGTTCGCGAGGCGTGCTCACCCAAGACAGGATGTTACGGGCGACGTGAGTTCTGTTAACTCTCAGAAACCCGAGATACGGCGGAGTAAGTTCCGAGTTTTCGTGTACCGCTTTCCTTCCTTTCCACCGGGTTACTTCGTGTCCGTTTCGTCTCCCTCGGCTTTTCTTATTACTCTTTCGAGTCGGTCCCGAAAAGAGTCGCAGTCAGATTCGAGAAGCGAACGAGGGAATGGCCGCCTGGAGAAAGCGATGGAAGTATATTTACAAGTTTTAAGAGAAATATTAAGCGAAGAGAGACTCGCCCGCAGCGATGAGGAGGAAGTTGAGTTATCGGTGCACTTTGCATAATTTATCTCTGCGTAATGCTTTCCCCTCTGCGGGGCTGGAGAGGAAGTTTCCGCATCTTCCGGCGTGGCGAGACGACATCGATCGAGAGCTCGGGCATTGTTACGTGTGTTTATTCACTACTCCTCGTGTGTCGTGTAAACAACTCGATGCACATGAACTATCGATCAAACGAAGTGCCATTAAAACGCTATATGATATATTTTTCGAATATAGCCGGAATCCATCGTTGGAATCTCAGCATACCACGTCTTACAAGGTATAACGGAATAAAGTGAGTAAAATCAATTCTAATATACATTTTTATTTGTTGCTTATTATTAAAAAGTTGCCCAAAGAAAACAAATTTGTCGTTCTGTCAGTTTTCTTAAAAAATTATGTTCGGCTGAAGAAAGTGCTTAAGTTAGAGGAACGATATATAAAACGAAATTGTACTCAACAATAAGTAGAAATTTGTTACTAATTTGTTGCTGTCCAAGTATTCAAGTTTCGAATCTGTTACTTGCGAAATAAGTGTAAATAATAACGAAAAAACTTTTCAGCGTGCAGGCGATATAAGAGTAAAGTATCAGTAAAAACTTTGTTGCTTACTTAAATTTGATACGAAGAGGTTGTCTAAATTTGTTGCTCTCGACATGTACAATGTAAAATATGCATTGTAAAATAAACGAAATCATGGGTCACATCCAATCCCACCCTATCAATAGAGAGTTAATTAAAGTACAGTTCCAATCGGAACAATACACGTATACTTACATATTCTTTCCTCATTTTATCATTTTGACGAATAAAAATCATTCCAGATTTTTATTCCAATATTTGACGCTTTCGGAATTACTTTAGTGTCTGTTGGAAATATATGTCTTCTCCGCAAGGAGATGTAAAAATGCGACTTAATATTCTGAATTCCACGTGCAGTAGGAATAGAAGACGAAGCGTCAAGAAAAACGAAACGTATTTGCGGGACGTGACGAGATATTGAAAATCTTACGAAACATCCCATGAGAACACCAGGTCGATCGGCTGTGTCATCAAGAAAAAGACGGTTCTCTATGCAACTCGACGATTTGTTTATATCGCATAAAAACGAGCTGCTTCTGATTGCCAAAGGACTAAATGCAGAGGATACGTGCCCCGTTATCGCCATTGAATCCTTTAACTCAATATTCGCGGTAAATCTTAACGGTAAAGCGTGAACTTTATCATCCTGACGGGAAATCGCCTTTGTTCAGCGGTGGCGATAGCAGTGGCTACGGGAAGAGGCTCGAAACGGAGAACGAAAATGCGCCCCGTGTGCTGAGGATATAAAACGGCTATATTGCCATAGTATGGCATCATATCGTCGATAAAAGCAGCGACACGGACGCATGGCAGTATCGTACACACAGCGCGGCACGCGGTTAATCGAACGGCAACGAGCGGCTCGTGTGCTTCCGAGCTCGTAAACTATAAAAGTGCCACTAATCCGTTTGTACATTAACGCGATGAATCATCGTGCGGTTCGAGGGAAGAGGCGAAGATGCCATAAAAACCGAGGGTTTACCACCCGCGGTGAAATCGCGCGAAAGGAGAGTGTGGCTTCTAATTGTAAATCGGATAATTAAATGCAGCGTACGATGATCTAGTTTCATATATACATATATATAATCAAACGAAAAGAAACGTAAAATTACAAAATGACCTGGATAACAGCAGTATAGGCTGCGAACGATCTCATCTTCCGCGAGATTGTACCATTTTATGAGCGCGCGATGCAACAAAGGGAATAATAGAGTAAGATAGAATAGAGATTTCCATGCTTTTTTTTTTCTTCTTTTTCAGGTGGGTACATCTCATTTGCAGTTCCGCGACAGCAATCAGTGACCGACGTACAAACGACGAGGGCGCAACGTTTGCGTTTGCGATAAAAGAGAATTTACACCCATCCCTGGTCGTGAGAGGGAAATGCGTGAGCAGAATTTCACGCGTCCTTATCGAACGTAACACTTTAAAGCACGTAGTGTGATAGCATCAGATGGCACATACAATGCCACTAAGCTAACCGAGATAGAGACTATTACGCCATTACTGCTATTATTACTGTTACTACAGTTACGCGGTATATGCATAATTGTAATTGTATTAGAGGATACATATGAAATGTTTTGCCTTGTGCCGCGCCGAGCGTTGCGGACAGAAAACTGTTAGACAAGATAAATGCCCGCAAAAAGAAATTAGTAGCTCTGAAACACAAATCTTTTTCATGCGCTCCGCACATAAATCTAAGAACAAACACAATTTTACTTATTTTTTGCATCATTTTAACATTATCAGAGATTTTCTGAACATTACCATGCAGACACCGCAAAGAGTAGTGGATCCAAGAGGTCATTCGATATTATCGTTGTCGGACAGCCGAAATGAATCGCTCCTGCGAAATGATCCTCACGAAGTGAGTCAGTAGTTCAACCGTGTTATCTATCTATAGTGAAGCTACGTTTTGCATCCTAAACATTCATTCATAAATCATGGGATCCCGTTATTCCGAATGAAATTATGCATTATGAATCATTCATACGCGAATTTAAGCCCAAAATTAGATTTGCAAATCTTACAACCACTAAATTCGTTGCTATATATTATATAATAGAATAATTGTAACAATATAGCCATAATATAATTATATGATATAACGGATATCTATATTCATATTGTTAGCCACTAATTTTCATTAATTGTCATTAAATTCAATGAAAAAGAGAATGTTAAGTTAAGGTTTTTCTTTAAAAGAGAATATTTATAAATTAAAGCTGTTAAATTAGAGGCTGTTTTTCGGTTAAAATGAAAAAGTTCTAAGATATATAAATTAGATGTTATATTAAAGGGCTACGCGGAGTCGAGTGATATATCACTTATCTTGGGGAAACATCGTTATATTGCTGCTATAATATATATAATTTTATACATCTTGAAACTTTTTCACTTTAACCGAAAAACAGCCTCTAATTTAACAGCTTTAATTTAATATTCTCTTTTGTCTTTAAAAGCTGATTTGGAGAGATACAGGAAGCCGTGGATGATTATCGTGCACAAATTTTGTAAAAGCGTTCTTCAAAGTGAGGTAGAAACATTTCGTCAGTAATCTATTCCAATGTACAAAGCGACATAGAAACCTTTGGCGAAATATCGAATACCATCAGTATGCCTTTCAGATAGCGGGACACTAGCACGTACGCCAAATAACCAGGGCAATTCCAGAAATGAAATTCCACCTACGTAGCACTAAATCGTAATTAATATCGTGTTTCCGCCAAACTAGCTCGTTAATCAGATTTTATTCCGTGCAAGGACGCATTATTATGACGATCGCATAACCGGGAACGTGGCTCATTACGCAAACGGTGGTCGCCCGGTACACATGTGTACGTGTTCGTGAAAACCGCGTGTGTGAAAGCACTGTTGATAGCGCGAGTGCAGCTGAGGTAGCCACCAAAGGGATAATCCCCTTTCGTAAGAGCCCGACGAGAAAGAATTTATTAATGGAACGTGAGTACTCATTACCCAACGCTTATCAGCGACGGAGATTTGTCGAGCAGCGATAATAAGACGAAGTCTACTAAAAATCATCTAACCAATTCGAAATACGAAGATAGATAATATTCGTAATCGAAAATTAAAATTCTGAAAGAAGCGAACGATCTAAAATGCAAAAGTTGTATCATTTATTTAGCACGTGTTTCCAGAATTTTCACGTAAAATTAATTAAACCTTAAAAAAATATATTATTTTTGAAGAATATTTAATTCCATTGGCTGCATTTTTTCACGAAGCGATTTACTTGACAAATTATTACTTGGGAATATGAAGATGGTGAATATGGCATTAATAGATCGAGGCATATTAACGATCGTTCTTCAACTTCTCACGTAAATAGCCGTCTTTTGAGATTTACCAGGATCACGAAGGACGAGACTCTTGATTCGCTCCAGAATCGAAGAGCGAGAAAATGCGGGTGATTTGCTCTCCGTGCCAATCGCCGAGCGGCAGGAGCTTCACGAAGAAGGGCGGTGCCATTTGAATAATTTCACAGGAAATTACCACTTGACACTGGTTGCTCCTAGATCCTGGAGGGATAAGGATTTTCCGACTCTATTTGTCGAGTGCGCGACTCCATTATGTAACGGGGAATATTAAAATTCAAAGGGAGACTCGTCCCGATAAAAATGCGATATCGTAACGAAGGGGAAACGCGATACGGCCGTCCGACATGAAAAAAAAAAAAAGGAAAGAGGGAACTCGGAAAAGAATGCGATACGATGTAACGAGAGCGTATAGCTGTGAAAAGAAGTTCGGATAACGAGTGAGGTAATTACAGCCGCGTTCACAAAATCGCATACGGCAAAATACCCGCGCTTTGTAATCCAATCGGCATATTCCGTGAATTTGAAAGGTGTTCAAGAACACGACGTCGTCGCTTCGTTATGTGATTCGATGTTTTCGCGTATCATGTAAATGCGCGCTCTGCGCCGGGACAAAGAGACAGATTCTCTTTTTCCTCCCCCTCTTCTCGCTCTCCCTTCCGTCCCAATCCCCGCCGTCCGGTGGTCGGACATTGATTCGCGCGTAATATAATCCGAAAGCACCAGAAACAAATGAGCGTGTTGAGCGACTGAAACGAAAGAAGACTAAACAAGAGTAAAGATAGAAAATGTACGTTAAAAAGAAAAAAAAAAAAAGAAAAGAAGATGATGGGAAGTATGGGGCGGCAGAGGAAGGAAGGGTATGACAATGGGTAGTCGGGGGCTGGTGAGCTCTCAAGGGTTGGCGTTTATTAAATCAACAAAAGCCCCTCGGGGGATGGTTTTCAGATGCGAGTACTACATCTGCTACAGAAAGCTTTCCGTCGTACTTGTCCTGCCTCCTACCCTTTCACCTCAAACCACTATCTCACGTTATCTCTTTCTCTCCTTCGTTCCCTTTCACCTCGCCCACCTCTCCTAGTCTTCTGTCAGTCGCTCGCTTCTCTAACCAAGCTCCTCCTTCGTTACACTTTGCGGTTTGTTCTGGCTGGCGATTACGACACTGATAAGGGGTAGGTTCGCCTCCGGGAGAAAAACCCTTCGAGTAGTCAAAACCAGAAGTACCGCGGCGCTCCTAATGAATTACTTCGGATTTAAGACGCCTTCCTGTCTTTCACCACGCTTCGCCCTCGGCTCTTGTCAAACTTCTGTCATTAATACCGAATCCGTTTTATATATTATGACTTAGAGCTCGATTTTATTGATAATTATATATCGCAGTATATATATTTATAAAATATATCAATAAATTAGTAATGATTTAGATGATATTATTTGCATATTTACACACATGTTATGTTATTATAAAATATGTATTTTAATTAATGTTTTTTTTTTCTCGGAAATACGTTATAAAATAATGCAATAAAATAAGTTTTACAGAAATATGTTACAACGCATAAAAAAAACTATACAAATATTTCTGATTTAGTAATATGATAATGTCAAACCATAAAACTGTATTTTATAATATACGTAAGAAGAAATAATGCATGAAAAATTGATAGTTGAATCAAAATCATGTTAGCAGCGAGGAACGCCATTCAAAATATCAGTTGTCTGAACAAGAATTGATTTCTCACGAGCGTTCGTTTATGTGTAATTACTCTTTCAATCCAATATTCCACCGAGAATGCATTAAAATGAACGCATGAAAATTTATTAAACGGATCAATTATGCGTATTCGAGCGACTCGCGTGTGTCTCCGAGTACATTACCCCGTTCTATTTTCGTTGTCGAGATGCGCCGGTATAAATATTTTTCGCGACGGCATGGACGCACTGCAAGAACGGTTACCTCGATCGCCGACGTTTGCCGCGACAATAAAATAACGCAGACATCGAATATACCGGACATGCCGTTATTAATGTGCTGGCCATTTCCTGTCGCCACAAATTATTATCCGTATTATCGCTATATCAGATCAGCGAACGGCGAATGTGTTTACATCGCGCGTCATATCGAGACAAATCGATATCGCGTGTATTATTCCTGAGCTTGCAGCAAATAAATTTAAAAGAATCTTGGAAATCGTTGAAATTCTTAGAAACGAATCTTCGATGTTCCGTCGACACTGAATCAACGTGAATCAACGTGTGTCATCTGCAAAACTCGTAATCGCGGAAATTAGGACGATCTCAACCTCTACTAAGGAGCCGCGTAACAGTATCGCGGTACGTCATCGTCTCGAATCCGCGTTATCGCGGATTGAGCGAGTCTCGCTTAATTAGCATTAAGACTTGAACAGGCATTAAATTGTAAATCCGTTCGCTCTTCGCTTAAATGGCCGAGCAACGAGATGCTCCACAAAGATGAATCTCGAATGGGCTTTTTAGATTTGCTTGAGAATTTGCGCGTCTTAGTAAGTTAGCTAATTAAGATGGGAAATGAACCAGTCAGAGAAACGATTTTATTACATGAATAGAAAAGCGATGAATATGAATATGAATATTATTATTTTATAGTTTAGTAAAATCGTTAGAGCGCTTCCTTCAAGCGACATTAAATAAGCTGTCTCTAATGTTATCGTATAAAATACATCTTTTTAAATGTGTAACTTTGATATATTATTCACCTTCGTCATTTAAAAAGTGTAAAAAGTTATTAGCATATGAGTCAAAGGATAGAACGGCGTTAACTTGTGTACAATGTAGAATATATTTAAGTATAAAGTAGTATATTAAATAGTATATAGTAGTATATAGTAGTATATTATAATTATAAGATATGAGACGTGTATGCACAGAAAAATATCATTCTATTGTTATAAAAAGCCGGATTACTCAATTTATTTTCTTCCTTTATAAATAATGATTATCTTTAACAAAGAATTTTTTTATTAATAATCTTAAAATATATTTATTGAAAATTTTAAAAAAATTTGTTGCTTAAAACAAGAATTTTATCTTCTTTTGAAGAATATAAAAATATTCGAAGCAATTTTATATAATAAGCAAATCGGATTTGTTTGAATTTCATATATATTCGATTGAAGTATTAAATTTACTAGGATTCAGAATATATTTTGAATAAATTTGATGCTTTTGATGAACTTATGATTGTGAATATATGAATTTTTGAAATACTTGAAATTGGTTATAGTAAGTATTTTTATGGGTGCATTGGCTTTGTGATATACAATGTATTTGCAAAATAATGTGACGTAAAAAAAACAACAAATAGTCGTTTGCTAATGAGAAATCGGAAGTTTGCATTTGAGGAGCAAATACCGCTTTGAGAGTGTCTTTCGTGAAAGAAGATTAAACACTAGAGATCAAACAAACAGGAAGTGGTCTAAGACTGGACAAACTAAAAATTGCTTCAGTAGGTACCTCTTTCAGCACGTTGCTAACCGAGACGTACGGAGTGCTTCCGGTTTCCTTTCGAAGCATCGGATAACGGAGGAAAGGCCACGAGGAGGGTTGAAATATATCAAGTTTAGCGAGGCCGGATGATTGTATAACGTCGACGGTTGGCTTGGGATATGCTTGTAAGGTCGATGAATTTAACACGGGAAACTAACTGTGTATTATGTAATCTTTTCGCACGGCGAGGGAGTTACTGATCCGTCGTAGTCACAGTACGTTTGCATCCCTTTCCTCGACATTTCAATCTTAACAAATCCGCCAACACAATGGCACTCTTCTCTCCCCGTCCGTTCCGTTTCTTCTGCTTTTCACCGTCAATATGGGTGCAGCCGATGTGTATATATACTATATGGGAAAAGAGAAACGGGAGCAAAACGAGAGAAGCTCGTGCTCGGCTTCTCTCTCCGGTCCGGACTAAAAATACTCCTCTTCTTCCACACTACCCCTCCCATCTTCCCGCCCTCTACTCTTCCCGATCTTTCTCTCTTCCTCTTTCGCTTCGTTCCTCCTCGCTTTTTCTGGATCTCCGTTCCACGCGCTTACCTCGCTCGCAGTCCTACCGACTCTGTCCCTCAGTCCCTCTGTCCCTTGCCTGCACCAAACCGTTGCTTTCTCGCTATAAATAAAAAAAGAAAGGAAAAAAGAGAAAAAAAACGAGAGCAGCGCGCGGGTGTCTTGGGCGTAGAATAATTAGAAACGGTCCTCTCTCGACTCGTCAGTTTTCCTCAGAAGAGGAAACTGACATCGCGCAAACATTTTCCACCTTGCGCTGTTCTCTATTACTAGATTTTAATAGCGCGTCTTTCTTCCAATTCCCCTTCTCACAAATCACATTTTCAATTATTCGACGATTACGTGTGTACGTCGTGTCTTCGGACAATTTTACATAATTAGTATTCAGAATTATTGCCACTAGAATTATCGCTCAGATTCAGTACGTTTCTTTCCTTGGCTCTCCGCCACATCTCCGCCAAGTCGAGCATTCCGGGAAAGCGGGAATCTAATAAAGAAGGGAAAATATGCTTTAGAGACGGACGAGAATATATATATTTCGAAAGTTCGGCGAGATTAGCGTATTTGCATGAGCGCGCGCACGTA